ATCAAAATGGTATACAATACCGACAGGTTGTTAGGTAAGACACATATGCAACAGTTAGACAACTTTATTCCGAAACGTTTCGCCTACACAGTAGGCTTCTTCAGTCGAATACAGAAAGTAGGCAGGAACAGCAGAGATGTGAAGACGATGTAATCAGTCCATCACCCTTAAAGTCCAAGGTTGTCAGTCCCTCGGCCTGGAGAAGTTCAGTTCCATAGTCAGGAACTATCTGAAGATCAAGCGACAGTGCGGAGACTTAAATACTGTCGGAAGGAGAGGTGCAGGGTGGTAGTAGTAGTAGTAGTAGTAGTAGTGAGAGGCCACTGAGAGGTCATGTCCCTCTCAGATCCAACACTTCTCACTTGAAAAGCTTGTCCAAGGTGTTTTCTGTACCAAGATGCCACGTGTTGCAGTGTCTGACAAGATGAACATCAAAATGGTATACAATACCGACAGGTTGTTAGGTAAGACACATATGCAACAGTTAGACAACTTTATTCCGAAACGTTTCGCCTACACAGTAGGCTTCTTCAGTCGAGGGACTGACAACCTTGGACTTTAAGGGTGATGGACTGATTACATCGTCTTCACATCTCTGCTGTTCCTGCCTACTTTCTGTATTCGACTGAAGAAGCCTACTGTGTAGGCGAAACGTTTCGGAATAAAGTTGTCTAACTGTTGCATATGTGTCTTACCTAACAACCTGTCGGTATTGTGTACCATTTTGAAATAAAGATACCTAACTGTTGCATATGTGTCTTACCTGAGTATCATTAATCAAGCTGTGCTTATCCAGATGGCTTCTTATATTATCGGCTATAATTGACTCTAGTAATTTGCCTACAATTGAAGTCAGGCTTATTGGGCGGTAATTTGACGGTAACGACTTGTCCCCTGCTTTAAAAATAGGAATTACATTAGCCATCTTCCACATATCAGACACTACACCTGCTTGAAGAGAAATATTAAAAATATTAGTCAATGGTTCACAAAGTTCCATTTTACACTCTTTAAGAACCCTTGAAAAAAGTTCATCAGGGTCCGGGGATTTATTTTGCTTTAACCGGTCTATCTGTTTGATAACCAATTCGGTAGTGACTGTGATATTGCATAATTTATCATCATCAGGCCCACTGTAAAAATTAATTACTGGGATATTGTTAGTGTCTTCCTCAGTGAAAACCGAGAGAAAATAATTATTAAGAATAGAGCACATTTCATTCTCCTTGTCAGTGAGATACCCAGAGTTATTTTTAAGGGGACCTATCTTATCTCTAACTTTTGTTCTATAAACCTGGAAAAAACTTTTTGGGTTAGTTTTCGAATCCCTAGCAACTTTAATTTCATAGTCCCTTTTAGGTTTTCTTATCCCCTTTTTAACGTCCCTCTTAATGTCACTATACTGATTCATAAGATGACCCTCACCTCTTTTGATGCGCCTATAAATTCTTTTTTTGTCCTAAAAGATATCTGAGCCTATTATTCATCCATCTAGGGTCATTTCTATTCGATCTAATTTCCTTATATGGGATAAATGTCCTTTGGGCAGCATGTATTGTGTTAAGAAAGCTGTCATGCTGATAGCTCTCTTCGTTACTCCAGTCCACAGATGATAAGTGTTCTCTAAGCCCATTGTAATATGCTAAGCGAAAATCTGGGACCAGTACTGAATTATCCCTAGTCATACTTCCATTCAATGCTAAAGGTAATTGATTTGTGATCGCTTGTGCCGAGTTCCTCTGTAATTTCTAAATTATTAACACGAGTTTCCTTGTTTGCCAAAACCAAGTCAAGAAGGTTATTTCCCCTTGTAGGCTGTATCACAAACTGCTTAAAAAAAAATCCTGAACTACTTCTAAGAAGTCGTTTGATTCTAAATTCCCAGTCAAGAAATTCCAATCAATATGACTAAAGTTAAAGTCTCCTAGAATTACTACATTATCGTGCCTTGTGGCCTTAACAATTTCCTCCCATAGTAGTCTCCCTTGGTCCCTATCTAAGTTTGGGGGACGGTATATCACATCTAAAATAAATTTTTCATGTCCCTCTGAAAATTCCATCCAAACAGACTCTGTGTGTTACTTCAGACTTAATACCCGTTTTTATGCAACAGTTTAATCGACCTCGGACATACAGTGCCACCCCACCCCCCTTCCCGATACTTCTGTCTACTTAGAACAATTTAAATCCCTGTATGTGACATTCAGCAGGCATGTCCCGATTTTTCGTATTGAACCACGTCTCAGTTAAGGCAAATGCATCAATGTTACCTGCACTAGCAACTAGTCTCAACTCGTCCATCTTATTCCTAGCACTACGACTATTTGTCGAACTTCCTTAAAACACTCTCAGAGAAAAATTACAAAATTAACCCACTGTATAAGAAATCTTCCATACGAAGAAATACTGAAATCCCTTAAACTACATTCTCTTGTGCAAGACGAAGAATGAGGGGAGACATGAGTGAAGTGTACAAGTGGAAGATCATAAACAAAGGAGATATAAACAAGGTCCAGAGGATATCACTGCAATAGATAACTCGAAATAATGGATTCAAACTGGGTCAGTGAGAGGGTGTTGATGTGCTTATCACATCGAATCTCAAAAATTACCCAACTCAGGGAAGCATGGGTTTACAGTAGGTCGCTTCTGCCTCTCCCAAATGCTTGACCATTACGACAAGGTCTAAGATGCAGTAGAAAACAAGCAAAATGCAGATGCAGTTTAAACTAACTTTGCAAAAGCCTTTAACAAGTGCGATCATGATGTAATAGCTCACAAAATGCATATAAAATTAGTAAGTAAAAAAAAGGCAGATAAATATACATTTTTAAACGAACAGAACCCAAAGTGGAATAATGAACGGTGTGAAATCAGAGGCTGCCATAATGAAAAACTGTTCCCCAAGGTAGAGAACTGGCCCCTGTTCTCTTGTGCATTCTCATATGCGACATAGATCTTGACATAAATCATAGCATACTATCATCCTTGGCATCCATCTAAGTTACAGAAAGCCTCTAAGCTGAAATAAACAGCCTTCTCGTGGGGCACTGATAAAAATAATGGGGTGATTGCACACAGAATGAGGATCATAACCATAACGGAAAAAAACATGCAGATGGATTGTCACCATCCTGACAAAACACAAATAGTAGTAAACAGCAAAATCCAAAATTACTGAGGCAAAAAGCCGAGTACCCCAAAGTACCGTCCTGGCACCTCTACTCTTTTTTATCCTTACAGCATAGATAAAAACATCCATCACAGTTTTGTGTCATCATTTACAGACGACACTAATATAAACATGAAAGTCACCTCGGTAGAAGACACTGAAAAATTGCGGAAAGATATAAGGAGGGGTTTCCAGTGGGCAGTGGAGAACAATATGACGTTCAATGGTGATAAGTTCCAGCTGTTTAAGTATGGAAACAATGAAGAGCTCAATAGGGATACTGTATACAAAACTCAAGAGGATCGTCAAATAAAACGAAAGGAACACGTGAAAGACATGGGAGTAATTATGTTGGCTGACCTTTCTTTTAAAGAACACAAGGAAAATGTCATGACAGCCAGGGAGATGACGGGATGGATAATGAGAACTTTCAAAACAAGGTAAATAGTGTCAGTGGTGACACTTCAAATCATTTGAGCTTCCGGCCTCGTTCAAAGCAGGAGAAATATCAGCGCCATTGAAGCATTTAAATTACTGGAAATGCATCAAATGCCAAGGCCAGACTCTGGGGGTATAAAAACTCTCAAAACTCACTAAAGGTATATCAAAGATAATATGTTCAATGGGGACAAGCTTCAGTTATCCCGTAGTGGAAAGACTGGTGTAATAAAGACTGGAATGGAGTATAATACAAACATAAATCACTTAACAGAGCATAAAACTAATGCGAGAGACCTGGTAGTGATCATGTGGGGTCTCACCTTCAAGAATCACAATTGTCACCATTACAACCGCAAAGAAAATGACAGGCTGCATAACCAGAGCCTTCAAAATGACAGGCTGCATAACCAGAGCCTTCAAAACAAGGGATGCCAAGGCAATGTTCACTTGTTCACTCTAGGCTGGAGTACTGTTAAACTCTTAACATTTCCATTCAAGGCAGGCGAAATTGCAGACCTTGAGAATATGTAAAGAACCTTCACTACTCGCACAGATTCACTTAAGCACTTAAATTACTAAGAACGTTTGAAGTCCCTTGATCTGTACTCTTTGGAACAGAGGCGAAAGAGATGCATCATAATTTACACCTTGAAAATCTTATCAGGACTGATTCCAAATTTCACATAAATAATTCCCCCATTAACGTAAGAGGCTTAACAGACGGTGTAAAATACCTCCAATGAAAAGAATTAAGTTTGAAGGGGCCAAGATTTTTCAGCGTCCTCCATACATAAAGGGGATTACCAACGGATCCCTGGATGTCTTCAAGAAAGAAATGAACAAGTTTCCTAAGTCAGTGCCTAACCAGCCAGGCTGTGGTGCCTATGCTGGGCTTTATGCAGCTAGCACCTATAGGTTAGTTGATCAGGCCATCCACCGGAAGGCTTGGTTTGGGACCGGGCTGATAGAGCATTGACCCTTGAAACACACTCCAGATAGATGTAAACTTACTCCTAGATCATTAAGCTCCTAGGTGACTGCCTGGAACCTATGTATATCTTTTACACATTTTCAGTATTTATAATTATTGTATCTGTTACTACAGCAGCAGAGCTACGCTCCTGGTGACTCTTCCTCAGTATTTATCATGCAATATGTTTTAAATTTCTAAAGCCTGTAGCATTTATTAATTCTTCCTATTGTACTACTTATGCCAGCAGATGGTTCAGTTTCTTTGGGATGGTGCGGTAGTTATCAGGACACTGCAGTTATAAGAACATAAGAATGGAGGAACAAGACGCACAGGGATGAGTCCATACAACTGTCCCTCACCTATATCTCCTCTTAAGACTGGTTAACAAGAAGTAACCACGTAGTGGACACTTACCTACAAAGACCTCAGACTCGGCGAGGTCGTCGAGGGTGGGAAGGGAGGAGACGGGTGCTAGGCAGGCCAGGTTGTCTGCAGAGCGTGGGCGGAGGAGGGTGGCGCCCCCTCCCCCGCTCACCACCACGCTCTCCCCCAACATCACTCACCCACCATCCCCTGCAACAACAAAAAATAATCAACCTTATGTTAACACAAATACAAGGATCAAGAAATACACTCATAAAACCCTCAATGGGTAATAATCCACGAGTAAAAGGACATGTGCAATTAATTTGACTTTTGTTGCGGCAACGTTTCGCTCTCCAGGAACTGTCAAGCTGCTGCCTAGCTTGACAAAGCTCCTGGAGAGCAAAACGTTGCCACAATAAAATATCACATTAGTTACACATTTCTCTTAAATAATAATTTGTGGGTAATTCTATCAACATAACACTGATGTATCAGTATCATGTCGCAAATAGGTCTACCTAGAGGTGACTCCGGGGGTCAACGCCCCCCCGGCTCAATCCATGGCCAGAAGTCTTTTGACTGAACACTAGTGGTCACTCCCACTGTCTAGTTACACCTCTTCCCTGCACTTAACATTTAGGCAAGGACTAGGGCACCTAGATATTGCTAATAAATTTATGGAAGCGCGCTAAACCCGTAGTTCATACAGCACCTGCTGAACGGGAAGGGGGGAAGGATAATCAGGATTAGTCTGAAGGGGAGGGAAAAAGGGAAGGTATAATTCCTTGGAAAACAAGTCATTAACCATCATGACAGCAGCAGATGAAGGTAGGACTCACAGCAGTGACATGCTTACAGTATTTATTCATTGGCTGAAACGTGAACATTTCTCAAAAAGTGCATTTTGAGAATAATTAAATTATGACTTAAATTACTGTTATTCATAAAGGAAGGTTTGGGGGGGGGGAGTTTAAACCCGTACAGGTCATAGTGTGTCTGGAGGAATGGGAGGCACTCAGGTTTGATACATGGAAAAACAGGTTTCATTCCATGAATGAAGAACCACTGGGCGGCATCAAAGAACCTTTCTGGAGAGCAGCAGAGTCCTAGAAGTGAATTCTAGCCATTATGAACATGACAGTTCTTGTTCTTGGGAAAATTCATTGGTATAGTGACGAAGAGTTCCTACTGGTTGAGATAAATCAACTAAGAGTCAACGTTAGGTTGTATAAGTCAGCCTCGACTTGGCCTGGCAAAGTGAGGTGATGGACTAAGATATTGTGAGGGACTCTTGGATATTCTCTTATTTATGTACTTCAGAATACACACACATGACTCAGCGTCTTAAAAGGAGGGAGAATATAAAGTACATCTGGAAATGACAGAAAATGTGGGTTTCTTGGCTCGGGCTAAGGCAGGAAATATAACCATAGTGCCCTACTATTACGAACACAGGTAAAGGGCCTGTGAGACCTGGTCGTAATGGGAAATGGAGTAAACAAAACTCAACAGTAGACTATAAAGTATATTTGCCTTCACCAGATAATATATACATGTATACTATGTACAGATGGAATAGTAAGTGTACACCATGGTGACAGATGACAAAGCAGAAGCCAGAGAGAGTGCACCATACTCAATGCCAATGCTTACCGCAAGTGAACCATGTTGCTTCAGCTTTGGCAGGCTTGCCTGTGATTGGCCAATGAACCAAGGTACTGAATCAACGATAGGTACCCTATTGATCGTTAAATCTTTAGCATCCGGTTCGTTGGTTGGGAGGCAGCCTATATGGGAGTATTACATACACTGAATAAATTGTAACATACTCTATGCATACTTCATCCCCACCTCAAAAAGGACTCTAATAGCCAGCACTAGGCCTCCACCTCCATGGATAGCATGCAGCCATGACACTGAACAATAAAGGAGCTGCCTTTCCTCTCAACCATCCAACTTTTTCTCTAGACTCAAAGTCAAACTATCATAGAGAGAGCAGACAGCAGGGTTGTAGCCTGAGCTTCCATCTCATTAGACGTGTGTTGTGGTTTTTCATGGTGTTGAGATAGACTAGAGGATTGTGATCGCCGTAGGCTGTGACCACCTGGGACGACTCCCCCAAGTATACTTCAAAATGTTCCAACGCACCCAGAAGGCTGGGTGTTCGGGTCACCATATTACAGACACAGGTAAAGAATGGCCTGTGAGACCTGGTCATAATGGGAAATGGATCGACAAAATTCAACAGTAGACCATAAAGTATATTTGCCTTCACTAGATATATAAATGTATAATATGTACAAATGGAAAAGTGTACACCAAGTGACAGATGGCAGAGCAGAAGCCTGAGAGAGTGCACTGTACTCAACCAGCAGCTAGGCAAGTCTGCCAACGCTTACCGCAAGTGAACCACGTTGCTTCAGCTTTGGAAGGCTTATATGTGACTGGCCAATGAATCAAGGTACTGATTTAACGATGGGTACCCTACTGATTGTTTAACATTTAGCACCGGTTTGTTGGTTGGGAGGCAGCCATATGGGAGTGAGACATATGCCGAATAAATTGTAACATACTCTTTGCATGCCACACCCACCAGATCTAAACTCATTCATGGTTCCATACACTAGAGCTATTGCTTCTGCAAGTATTCTATAAGTATAATTAAGTGATTCTGTGATGTGTAATTTATGTCCTACTTAATTTACAATATTATTAAATTCACTACGTATGTAGTGCAACATTATCGCAGAAAATTTTCTGCTCTAAAAAAGACATGAGATCAACAGGAATTGCCCAGAAGCGAAGCTATCAACTGCCATTGATCTGCTTTTAAGTGTAAATAATAAATTATGAGTTAAGTTTTTACTGCCCTAAGACAGGCAACTCTTAGGTTCATCCTGTGGCAGGGGTGTTGAGATAAACTATAGCACAGTCCTATAATATTTACTGATGAGAATGTAAGTGAAACACAGAGCCTGCACACTCGGGTGTCCCTTCTCAACTACGGGAGCTTGAGGTGTTAAGTGCACGCTTTACACATGTTCTCTAAATATGTCACACATCATCAGGACCATGTTGGCGTGTTACACACTAACGGTCACTGCTCTACCAAGTCGCTAAATTTCAGATATGAAAAAAAATGAGAACCTCAAGGACATAACATGCTAAACACAGGAAGACCACCAAATAGAACACAAAATGTAAAAGACCTGGATGTAATAATGTCTGCTGACCTGTTGTTTAGAGAATATCAAGCAAATCTTATGAAAGCTAGACAAATGTTGGGGTGGATAATGAGAACTTTCAAAACAGGAATATTACCAATGATAACACTCATTTAAAATTAAGTCCTTTCTGAAATTTTCTTTTATACGTTTAAAGATATATATTTTTCATTAATGTTAATGTAAAAAAATTTAATTTTGCACCAAAAGAATCTTAGAAAACTTACCTAACCTTATTATAACAAGAGAAATTTATTTTAACCTAACCCAACTAAATATATTTTAGATTTGCTTACAGTAATTTAATACTAAACAAACACAGTGAAATATATCTTTTTCGTTAAGTTCAGAATGATTTTGGCGAAATTATTGCATACACAAATTTTCACTTGTCCTATATGGCAAGATGAGCGTTGCTATTTAAGCCAAGATCGCAAGTTCTGCCTATTCGGCACGACATTATATATATTTATATATATATATATATATATATATATATATATATATATATATATATATATATATATATATATATTTATATCGTGCCAAATATGTAAAACTGGTCAATTACAAGAATTTCATTTAAAATTAAGTCCTTTCTAAATTTTCTCTTATGCGTTTAAAGATATATTTTTTTCATTAATGTTGATGTCAAAAATTTATAATTTTGCACCAAAAGGAACTTAGAAAACTTACTAACCTTATAACAAGACTAATTAATTTAGCCTAACCTAACTAAATATATTTTAGATTTGTTACAATAATTTTAATAACTAAACAAACACAGTGAATAATTTTTTTTCGTTAGGTTCAGAATGATTTTTGCGAAATTATTGTATACACAAATTTTCACTTGTCTTATATCAAGATGACGTTTGCTATTTAAGCCAAGTCGCAAGTTTTGCTATCGGCACGACATATATTATATATATATATAAAATATAATATCAATATATATTATATACTGAGCATAAATTATATCGTATTAATTATTTATATCGTGCTAAATAGGTAAAACTGGTCAATTAACAAGAATTTATTTAAAATTAAGTCCTTTCTAAAATTTTCTCTTATACGTTTAAAGACATATTTTTTTCATTTGTGTTAATGCAAAAATTAATAATTTTGAACCAAAATAACCTAAGAAAACTTATCTAACCTTATAACAAGCTCAATTAAATTTAGCCTAATCCTACTAAATATATTTTAGATAAGTTTACAATATTTTAATAATAAAACACAATGAATTACATTTTTTTCTCGTTAGGTTCAGAATGATTTTTACGAAATTATTGGATGCACAAATTTTCGCTTGCTTTATTCGGCAAGAAGAGCGTTGCTATTTAAGCCAAAATGGCAAATTTTACCTATTCGGCACGACATATATTTTACTCGCGCGCGCACAGCAATTTTGCCGCGTCTTCTACCGAGTTGTTTTTCTTGCTTATTTTGGTATCATCAACAAATGATATGAAACTGTGGTAAGTGTATTTATGTGCACTAATAAGGCTAATAAACAGTAAAAGTACCAAACCTTGCCTTGGGATACTCAGCGGTTTACCTTGTTAATGCTAGATTTTGCTGTTTACTATTCCTCTGTGCTCTACTTTCATTCAGGGGCCCCAAATGTAAACCAGGGATACAATGACTACACTTAGTCAGTGTCAAGGACTAAAACTTTTCAACGTCCTCCTCCTGTTGTTCGAATAAATGGTTTATAAACCCGACATGTTGATATATGAGACACTTATCTTTATTCTGGAAACGTATCCAAATAAAGATATCTATATGTCGCACAAGTCCTGCTGTCTTTCACACGGGGCAGTACCAACACACCCCTGACTCTTCAAGAAATAACTGGACAAGTTTTTCAAGTTAATCCCTATTTAGCAGGGTTGTGATGTATATGTTGGACTTCGTGCAGATAGCACCAACAGCCTAGTTGATTAGGCCATCCACCAGAAGGCTTAGTCTGGGGGCAGG